TATTATTATTATTATTATTATTATTATTTTATTTATTTATTTTTTTACACGGAAAAGTTCTAACTATTTTATCCAACATATGCATGAAATATATAAACATTTACCAACAGGGTGGACGGCAATGCACTTTGCAGCTAGTAGTGGACAGACACTAGTGTTAAATGCACTTCATATGAAAGGCGCCCATTTCGATGATGCAAATAATGATGGTGACACGGCTCTCCACATCGCAGCTTCAACAGAGAACCTTTACGCTCTGTACACGTTGGTGAAATTTGGTGCTTCCACCGACAAGAAAAATAAGGCAAACAAGATCCCGAAGGACCTTTTGACGACAACTTCCGATAAAATTATTGCCGTGGTAATATACATATTCTGATAAGTAAATAGTATTACTAGATTGGCTTTTACTCTTTCTCATGCAGCATGTCATGCATGGAACTAAGAATATTTTGCTATCATGGTGAACAATGTTGAATTAACGCTTCTATGTATCTTTATAATTATCAGTAGCATTATTATTATTGTCATTGTTTTATTGTCGTTGCTTTTACTATCAGTGTAATAATTACGGTGAACTGCTTTTCAGTTAAAGATAGTGGCTACAACCGAGGAGAAAATGGTCAAACAGTTGCAGGTTAGTTAATGCAGAAAAATAAAAGTAGTTGAATATTCGGATATTAATGCAAACAGAAGAATTAAATAACATGAAATCAGATTTGCAATAATGGGATATAGAACAACTTTTAATATGCTTTGCCTGAGTACAAGCAAGGAATTTACAAGGAGGAATCATGAAAAAAATGAAGAAGCAATGAAATGTAATCTGTGATGAACTCATTTTACAGTGCTATTTACTTTCTGTAATCAGCAAATATATTACCTATTGAGAATGCAGTGATAGTGATTATGCGTAACTGAATATATTGATCACAGTGTGTATATTAGAGGTTATTTACATTTTGGCTTAGCTATATCTTTATAAGAAATATGAAAAACGAGTTCAGGTTTGCTCTACATCTATCTTTGTCTGTTCGTAATTTAAACTCTACAATAAGTGCCATGTATGTCATCATAACCGAATTTCAGACAAAGCTGTAAAGTGTGAGAGATTGGCATTCGTAATGGACTACGATGGCACTTCCACACATGCATCTGTCTGTATGATAGAGGAGATATCAGGTTAAACTGACGTTGAATTTCAGGCAGTAACGGATTCAGGAGGTTCGCAAAGGGAGGGTGAGGGGGTGAGGGTGGAGAATTGTGTCAGTCAACGAATCTAAAGAGTGTAATATTTAGACTTTCAGGGGCATTCTGTTATCAACTCCAGGAAAACCGTATTTACTCCATTACCTTAATTATACAAATGTTTCTGTATAGCGTGTATAGCCATTTAAGATAAGAAATCAAACCATTCAAAACACAAACAAAATCAAGCCAATCAATATACAAACAAATGAAAAGAGTATAGATAAGTACTATTAAGCCATTAAGTAAATAGTGTATGTTTAATTCGCAATCTATCGGAAAAACCTGCTATAACTGTAACCCACAGTAGCTCGATACTGTGAGCCTTTTAAAACTGCATGGAGATTTATTCTTGTTCTATCATTCTTTATAGGACAGACAGTCGGACTGGAGGCTTATACATAGTAATAGATTAATAGAATTCACGGTCAGATACTGGCATTGTTACAGTGTAGTTATGCCTAACTAAATATCAACGAAAATGTTCACAATTCGGGGACGATCAATTTTACTGTTTTAATGTTATATTCGTTGTGTTCGACATTATTTTAATTTGCATATTATCTTTCCCTCTTAAATCTTAAAAAGCAATTTGTTTTTTTTCTTATTATAAGCTTATTAAATTTGAAAGGGGGGGAGGGGAAAGGATGAACAAGGAACGATCAGTCGGTAAGAGAGAAGTAAAAAGAAAAATACGTGAATTTCTGATTAGGAGAGATAGAGTGGAAAGAAAAAAATGGAGTAGGAGATAAAAAAGAATGAAAGAAAAAGTGGAGTAAAAGAGATAAAAATAAATAAAGGAAAATATAGCAGTAGGAGAGATAAAAAACTAAAACAAAAAAAACAAAACAAAACAAAGAAAAGGGTAGACAGGAGGAAAATAGGAGGAGATAGAGAACCAGACAAGTGAAAGCAATAAATAGCTGTCCTAGGCATCATTTACTGGGAAGATGGGAGGTCCACGCACCTCCAGCCGAAAGAGAAATGATATTGCTAACTTGAAACCAGTATGATTTGTGGAACAAAGGCTAGTGAAATTAAATTAATCTGTAGAAAGTATAAATAAGTTGATATATACATATTTAGTTTCAGTTTACTAAAATCTTTGTAGAATGACAGATCTTGTACTTTTTAGTTTGTTTCCTGATGATCTGACGAATCCAAGCGCAGTTTATTCACTGCCCTGTTCACCCGGTCAAGTAGGACAGTTGGCCTCCTCAGGATATAGGAACACTTGGCTCAGTTAGATCTT